TTCAAATGATTGTTTGATGTAGGTATTCTGGTATAGTTTTTTTCTGTACAATAATGAAATAAATCACTACAAAGAATAATTACCGTTCCTTATATACTAAGCTATCTCATTATGCCCAGAGATGATTAGACAGGTTAGTATAAAGAATAAGTAAAGTCATAAATTGTAATTATGTTCTGGGCTTCTGGATGACATAATTGAAAAGACAGTCAGGTAGAAATTACATGGTGTCCAGTCTGCAACTTCTCCCCCATTAATTGTTATCCAGTAACAGTGTACTTGTTTTAAATGGACATGTTTATTCTCAAGTTGATGTGCATAAAGCAGGAATTTTGAGAGCAAGTTGTGAGCAGTCTAAGGAGGCTTACCCATTCACAAAACAGCTGCCATGCAGATATAATCAATTCCAAAACATTGATTTACAAGAATGCTACCTCTTACCCTCTTCTTACTCTACCCTGTTACTTTTATCTTTTTTTCTGAATGGGTGGGTATGTTTATAATCATTCAACAGGCTGATGAAGGGGCTAAGTGGCATTTTTGAGGTTAAGGAGCATTTTTGGAAATAGAACTGATGCTAGAAGCTGGTCCTTTACAATATACCACTGTTCTGTTTTTAAGTGTATGCGTGGGGTGAGGGCACTGAGTTAGATACCTGGTCCAACAACAAATGAACAGAGCACCCAATGCTACAAATACATAGCAATGACAAACTTTATGTTAATATTTTGAGTTGCCCATCTTATCACCTTCAAGACAGTAAAATCAGAGGGAAATCATTTTGATCTTATATGTGACTACATCCTACAAAAAGGGCCTTGGCAGAGATGAATGTAATCTATCTCTTAACAACCATACACTGAGTTTGTTCACATGTCATATAAAGCTAGGTTATCAATCAACCTAGCATATTGTTCAGACTTTACATCAAACCATGGTTAACAAGAGTACAGTACCTAAGTTTCAAAAATCCAGATAACTACTAGATGGCAGCAGAGAATAAGAGATTTCTCTTTCATTACTGCCATTTATATAAGGCAGCCTTACCTGAGACTAAACAGTGACTGCAGTTTTTACCCAAAGTTTGTTGTAAGGTTATCCACTCATGTGAGTGGGTTCTTCTGAAGTTCACCTTCCCTTCTTGCCCCCGTTACTAGAGAATGGAGCTTAGAGAATCCATAAATGGGGTTGTCCTAGCTGCACGTTCTCTTGTGCATATATGGTTGGGTGGGGTTGCGGTTAAATGGGGACAAAAAGACAGTGGAGAGACACTAAGCTGTTCTCTATCCTGTCTGTGTTGACTCTAACTCTGCTCAAGATACAACTGACTTAAAAAAAATGGCATTGTGAAGCTGGCTTTGCTGGATTCCCACCACAAACTGACTTCTATTTGTTGGACTTGGTGCCAGGTGAATGGGCTTTTTACCCTAGACTAAGCTAGGTGGATTGTGTGAACCTGCCCTATGAATAATCATATCTTGGCTTTATGGTGATCAGTTGGCTGATTGGACCTTCTGACAGGTGTAAAAGGTGGGTATTACAGTATAAGCAAATAGACCAGATTTTGACCAGTTAATAGAACTGGTAGAAGTTCAAATGTGAAAGCCCAACTAGTCTGATTTGTAAATGCTGGCTTATAGCTTAGCATATTGTACAAATGTAGCCCACTGTGGTTTAATCATCAGAAAGGCTGAATGAAGAAAATGGACACCTTCTCATCATGTGTCCAACATACCTAATCTTTAGCTTCGTTATTAGCACTTCTGGTGAGCATTCTGGTTTTTCTTCATCTAGTACTGAATGATTTGTTCTTCCTGAAATCCAAGGTACTGACATCAATTTTCTATAGCACCACAATTCAAAGGCATAATTTTTTCTTTGTTCAGCCCCCCTGATGGCCCAATTTCCACAGTCCTATGGTACAACTGGGAAAACCATTGGCCTTGATGATAGGTAGTTTTATTGCCAGTGAAATGTCTCTTCAAGTTAATATTTTGCCTAGATCTATCGCAATCTTTCTGCCAAGTAGCAGACATCTTTATTTCATGCCTGTAGCTACTATGTGTTTTGGGACCTAAAAAAAAAAGTCTGTAACTGCTTTAACTTTTTCACCTATTTGTATTGGGTTGCCACTGTCTGCTGACATAATCTTAGCAAACCAGCTTTTGTGCTCTTTTTTGCTCATCTTCAGCAAGAGATTCCCCAATTTTGTTTTGTCTCCAGACTTCAAAGGGGTATCACCAGCACATCTGAAGTGGTTGATGCTATATTGATGGGCTTGGCTTGGACTTAAACTGACATAAATCTATCTGTGTGTGTGTGTTTAGATAAGCATTAACTTTGACATCCTTTTGTTCATAATGGTTACTTTATTTCTTCTATGATTTTCTGGTCTGCAGTAGAAGATCTGATATTATTCTGATGTGATATGACCCATTCCGGTCCATTCACTTTGCAGATTTCCAGAATGTCAACGTTCAGTCTTTACATTTCTGGTAAACCTGGCTTCATTCATGGTTGTGATATTCTATGTTCCAATGATATAGGGAATATGCAGGCTGCATCTCCCCACACCACATTCATTGACAGCCAGCCTGTATCTGAGTTTCAATCAATATTCAAGAGGGAGAGATGTTTTTGGCATCTAGACACATTCATGTGCCCCAACCCCTCTCTCTCCTGGATAAGAAAAGGTTTTTTCTTTTTAAATCTTGAAAGGGAGCTCCAAGACATATGGAAGAATGCTAGGAGAATGAAACAGCACCATTGTTCTCCTTCAGCCTCTGATTAAAATAGAATTTCCAAGAAGAAGGAATTTCCAGACAACAGTTGGAGCAAAGGGAAATCTGTGGCAGGGGACAAGTATTCTATATAGCAGTGTTTCTCAACCTTGGCAACTTTAAGACGTGTGGACTTCAACTCCCAGAATTCCCC